TTTACACGTTTGGTAGAAAGTCACATCCTATTTACCCTTTATACCTCAATAAATGATATATTCCGGTTTTAAGAATTATGAATTCCTTAAGACCGTGCGATGTTCATACATACAGCTTCGCACATATGCGTTTCCCAGTGCTCCTCATGAAATGTACAACGTAGCCCACATCCTTTGTTAAATTTCATTAAATCCATATGTTATCTTCTTAAAGACATAGAGGAGTATGTTACTTTCCTTATACGGAAAGCGTACACCTTGTAGACTGCAAACGACTAGCGCTAATGCAGTGGCAGATCAGGCTCAAAATTATTCGGGAATTGGGAAACATTTTCAAAGCCGAATTATGCCCCTTTTCGGGTATACATGTGAGCTCAATGTGCTTACCGACCAAGCGTGTAAATGATGCATATCTTTGTGCATTCAACAAAATATATTTGAATTAATCGGTACAGACGAAAATTAATGTGAAAATGCATGCTAAATAAGTAGTTGTTATTTTCCGAGTATGGTTTCTGCATGAGGTCTAAAAGAAGTCCATTCAAACTGTAACAGCCTGGCGAGTCCGATTTACTATAGCGTTTTGCCGTATGACAATCAATGTTACAACCCCACCTTAGTTATCCTTCCTAATCGAAAACTCCATGCAGAATTTCGACCAACATTTCATGAGACCGGTCACGCTCTGTATCTGTTTTGCATGCCCCATTTTTATCCACTGAATAGGGGCCTATTTGGTGAAAATTTTGGAATGACACTTACAAAATGAGATCTATTACACTCGACCTCTCTCCCTCTCTCTAACGCAGGCGAAAGAACGAATGACGTTATATAAATGCGACTGACAGAGATAGAGAGCCGGCCTCGATGATGCCGGCTCGATCAGGCATGATCGCAGCCGTACAATGGAGAAGAAGAGGAGGACACGAGGGGCAGCCCTGCACACATCCTGCCAGGCTGGATGAGACGAAAACCATATTTTGATGTGGAGGCGGTTCTCAGACCTGAATTAAATCAACATAAAAATATCAGGCTTAGTCCCGAAGACGAGTCTGGACCTTCACGAGATCGTCCTATATTTCGACACAAGATTGCATTTTTCATCAACCGCGATCGACCTGGTACGCGAACCTACGAGAAGAGACCTACATTGGAGTTGGACAAAATCCAGAGCCCTCTTAAGATTGCGCATGGCTTCATTGATATTGCATCCACAGTTAAGTAGTGTTACAGGTCGATGCGCCCTGTCCGTCAGGACTAATTGCACATTTATCTGCATTTATGCTGTACCAGATAATACAGAGGCATTTTGCAATTTTAGAAATCCATCTACAACTTCTCCTATCGGAATCATTGTAGAGCGTGCATGTTCAATCCTCTTGGACTTGGTGGACACTGAGGACTGCTCGTCTTCTTCCTCCTTCCGAATTAGCCTCAGCAGGGCTCGCCGCAAAAATCAAATGTCTGCCTACGAGGAGGCCCTCTCCGTCAGCATCCGCTATCTGCGACAGGCGCCACCATCACTGATTACGACGTCTTAAGAGAAATGCTTGTTCTCCATGGCGGCTTCATGTTGCGTGTATTTACAAACTGATGTAGATATAGATCTGGATACACCTTGAAAGTCGCAAGCGGAAATACGATATTCAAATGACGCAGATACCGTCGACTACAATACGCAGTCAATTTGTACACTCTGAAGATTGGGTGGGGATGCTAGCATACAGAGACCGCTCACTGGCACGCACGTCAGAAAAGTATTGCTTTTAAGGCACGTCTGGAGAGTGAACTGCCTTGCACACACACCTATGTCCTACAAGGTCCTGGGATTCAATAGCCTTCGATGTTTTCATTGATCCTTGATGGCGGACTCGAGTGAGAGTTTGAGACTTCGCAGTAGTATCATGCTAGATCTGGGTCTTTTCTTCTGCAAATATCTTACCTAACTTACAGGTAGTTACACATCGCACGCCTGTAGATAAGGATAATACAGACAGCCAACATGTCGGTGATATTCTCCAAAATGACTGCCCGCAGTGAACCCTGTCTCGATAATGACAGGCAGTGATGCACTACCTGGACTTCCTGCGAAAATTGCAGCAAAGGGCAGTTTTTCTGAATGATGGAAAGCAGATCAGTGCCGTACATCAGTATGAATGTAATCTTAGAGCACTTTATGCAAAAGGAGGATTTCGGCCGGTCGTCGCTCACGATCATTAATTTCTGAATGCGTGCTTGCGGAGATAATGCTGCATGAGGGTACTGTGTGACGGATACACGACAAAGCCTTCGTGCTGTGTGCACACTGGTGTAAACTATGCATGGCAAAGGTGTCTGACGTCTGTTAACAACGTATTTCTCTCCGCCCCCATCTTCCATCCCTTCCTGCCTGCAGGTTTACCGCGATGGACTTTCATTCGTCAGACTGCGTTTTCAGCATTCCACCCTCAGCCCGCGACTGGAGTGATCCCGAGGACCTGCTGTAGGATGCCAGACATGACGTGAATTTGATACAGCAGTTGGGCCAATTGCCCATCTCCTGCGTCGGCTGGTCAGAGGGTGACCAGTCAGCCATCCAGACAGCATCAGACTTGAATTTCGACGGTCAGCCGCGTTTTGATTGGCCAGTTCTGCTGGTGGCGCATTCGGCTGTTTGTCCTCTGACACCAACCTCGTGTCAACTGACATTGCGATTTAATGATCTGTCTCTGTACTCCTCATACACTGTTTCTGTTAATGCTGGCAAGTACTAAAATAAAAAGCGCGATAAATGCACCGAAAGATGTGCTATTTTTTCCCAAATATTGGGATGTGTCATCTGGTTAAAACGGTTGCTGAGGTGGATTTGGAAGAGGCGATGCCAGAATTCGCATTCTGCCAAGTTATCTCATTGGCTGTTGCCTGCTGATTTACAAAGTCACCTGGATATCGTTTGAAAGCAGGACGAAATACGTTCGAGAACGTTTTGCTCAGAGCTGCGAGCTAGAGCGTCCACAGACAGTCGCACAGCAACCCACCTTCATATATCAGACCTCTTCTGATTGTCATCGGGGTGTTTCTGTTTATTAAGGGAAAAACCATTGATAAGTGAGAAGGTGAAAGAGGAATTTTGTACATAACGCCGGACAGCTGCAAGCTAGCCGAAAAATAGTAATCATTAACGGTTACTTGCTAATTGCAAGTAGCAAAAACGCATACGTTATTGTCGGGTTACGTGAGTGGATGTGAGGCTGGTGATTGGGAAGCATGATAAGCGTCAAGTCTACACTTCAAGGAATTCACACAGGAGGCAACTACGACATCGGTAGGCAGGGCATTCCACGCTGCAACTACTCTGTTACTGAAAAAGGACCTTCGTCCATTGATCCTTTTTTTCCCTGCGCGTAGTTTTACGGGAAGACCGCGCAAAGTGGGCGTGTTAGCTTGAGTAACATAATCAGTGGGATCTAAACAACAGTCTATGCCGTTGATAATGCGAAATGTTAATATAAGGTCACCACGACGGAAAGGGGAAACAGGTTGAGAGTTGACAGTCTGGTTTCATAGGGCAGTGCTCCCAGACCTCGTGTACGTTTGTTCTTGACTAATGAAATACTACTTTGTCATTTAAATGCAACTCTGCCTTTGGACTTGCGTGTACGTCGGTGGAGATACCAGCTAATAATAATTGGACGTGGTCTTAGCTATGTGATGAATTAGGATATTGGGTAAGGACGTTTATCAGTTAATGGCATAATGATATATTTGTAGGAAGGGGTACGCCCATGTGAATAAAGGAGGCATTGGTGGTAACTGTGAGAACTGAACTATGGCTAGGTCACGGGTTACCCGAAAGGGGCGAGGTGTGGTGGGCAGGCGGGAGGTCAGAAGGGAGCGTTGACGCACTGGCCCAGAAATCTGCACAGCCCATCCACGTGAGCCACACAGGACCAGTTTGAATTCTGTTTAAATTGGGAAACTGAGAGTTGGGGCTGAGCATGACAAGCATCGCGATCACTTCTCCAACCCGATCTCAGTGTCACGCACACACACGACCAGTTGAAATTCGGCAGGAACTAGAGGAGTGGTAGATGATAATCCACAATTAGTTGGAAGCTAAACCCCATAAACTGTGGGGAGGGAATTTCACATAAAACGAAGAACTATATATACATGGGGATAACAGTGGATGCGTTGTGAAATCAAGTCAGTCAGGACATATGGCGTTGATTTTTGCGGCGTATTTCCCTGTCGTGTTGGAAATCATGACGTCGAAGATTCGTCTTTGGTGCCATTTCGAATAGATTTTGTCAGTCCACATCAAGATCACGTCGCCGTAAGAACTGGAACGTGAGTAAAAGCTCACGGACGTCTTGTCGATAGTGGAGACGATAAACGTTTAAGGCTGTCAGGCGCTATTCGTACGTCAAATATTTGAGTTCATGGACAAGCTATCTAGCACGTCCTTGCACACCACCTTCAAGATGAGCTATGTCCTCCCGAAGTAACGGACGCCAAGCCTGCACCATATACTCCATGTCTGTTCGCACAAATGTTCCTTATACCTCACCGACGATATCCGCATCCAGGTTGTGCAAGGTTCTGCCAACTGTCATCATTGTTGACGTTGTCTGCACTGCGATGTTACGCTCACATGGACTTTAATGAATACTTCGCACACATATACGGGGAAGGCTGACCTATTCCGTATGTTGCGGCCTATCAAACGATATGGGTTGTGAGATGACCAAGTGCATGACGTGAGATTGGGGAAGACAGCAGTAGAGGTCGAATATTCTGTGCAGAAATTCGATAGTGGTCAGGCCGCTATCCACCCCACCGACATAGGCGCGGTCACATCTGAGACTGTCCGCACGCAAGTTCGTTCGTTAGGGTGCTTTACCTAAAAATCAACCCCGAGACACGGGAGGATGTCGCTGAAGATGGACAGGAGTGATGCATTAGCGTAAAGACTGCATTAGCAATGTAGGAAACCAAGGAGTGTGGCCGGCAACACTCAAATGCTACGGATGAATACTGTCAGCACCCAAAACCTCGCCATCACTTCCACACCGTCAGCGGACGTTCGGAGCACGGACCGACTTCACAACACACAACCACTACCGTCGCCGCCGCCGCCGCCACTGACAACATCAAGGAGGACACTCCTACCTACCTGCAAAATATTACCACCACCGCTCCTCCTCCTCCTCCTCCTCCTCCTCCTCCTCCTCCTCCTCCTCCTCCTCCTCCTCTTCCTCCTCTTACCTCTAATCCACCGCCAACACCACCACCACCACCACCTCGATGCTTGACCAGGTCGCGTGAGGGAATGCATAGACGGACAGTTTGCAGCTTTGTCCACCACTGCGTCCGAGCCCACATCCGGTCATCTGGACATTGTCTTTCCATCGGAGTCCGGTGGGTGTGGGTGGGAGAGAGGGGGTAGGGTAGATGTTGCGGAGAGCTGCCTCACAATAAATTGATTCCTATCAAAGTCACCAGTGCTACATCCAATCTGCGCGCAGCCGATGCAGGTCGTGCCTCGTGGCGATCACATGATTCCACCTAGAGGACCCAGTTCACAGACTAGCTCATTGTATCACAATAGCGGCGGCCGTTTATACCGGAATGAAAGCATCGCATCAGTAAGCCTGTTGATCGCAACTAAGTATGCGGTTATTATTCTAATCAACCTCATCTCTTCACTGATCAGGCTGATCACATCCCTGCAAATCATATATACGCCTTCCACACATATTACCAATTCCCTAACTGCAAACCACCTACCAGACTCCACTGGGGATGAGGGAGATCTCGCCCCGTCGAGAGTAATCCGACGGTCACATCAAGGCTGAGGCATGCAGTCTGACCCTAGGTCCTGATAAGGGGCGTGTTATGCCGTCAGTTTGCACAACCTCAAGAAACAACTGTTTGCCAGTCCTCATAATCAATGCAGAGCTCAGTTTCCGTTTACAGTGGAGACATTAAGAGAGGAAGTCGACTTTGACGGCCACCGCCATCTCTTCTCCAAACCGAACTCAGTGGCTTGCTCGAGTCAGGCGGTCTGGGAATGAGGAGACTGGGTACAGTGGCTGAGATTACCTGACAGTCCTGTTTACGCTGTGGGAAACATGGGAAGCAATAAAACCAAATTTGACAACACATTCAAATATTAAAGAAAATGTAGCACCTGTTTGGTTGCATTTATCGCGTATTTTATTTCAGTACCTATCCACCTTAACATTAACAGTGTGTAAGGAGCACAGATCATTAAATCGAGACGTCGGAAAAGAGGTGGGTTGACACCAGGTGGATGCCAGCACTCATAGTACGCACATTGCCGGACAAATAAATAAATGCGTCACCAGCAGATCTGGCCAATCAAAATGCGACTAACTGTCAATATTCAACTCCGATGCTGCCCGGATGAC